AGCACCTTTTGCTGTTATTACTTGGCTAAATAAATTTAATTTTTCTCTTGTTAGTTTTATCTCGTTGATATTCAATAACAATTTGGAATGGCTATTGTATATGATATTTACTGTTTCATGCACAAATCGTGAAAGTTCATTTTTTGATCTCCCCAACAAAACAGAAATATCATCAAATCTATTAAGATAAACTAATCTTCGTAATAAAATACATAATGCATCAATTCCAAGTGAACGTGATCCATTTTCACAAATGATTACAAATGGAAGGCGTAAAGCAGAATGCAGATGAAAAATCGCTTCTTAAAAATACGTTAATATTAAAAATTTTATAAGTATTATTCCTTTTTTAAGTATTTACTTTAATTTATAAATATATCACTCACCGAAAAGAAAACAAGCAATCAGAATCAGTCATTTTATTTAAATTTATTCTTGCTTTTGTCACAGGTAAATCTTTAGTGATATGATATAATAAAATGGCTTCTTCATCTCTATCATACTGATCCAACAATACTAATACCTCATCACTAGACTACAAATATAATTTTAATTAAATGCTTAATGTGCGAAAATAAAAAAAAAAGAAAAAGTGAACACAGCCTTTGAGTTTCCGTGGTCACTTCACATTACATTAAAAATATTGAATAATTTTTGAATTAAAATCGTCTGTTTCTTTACAATGTTATTCATAAATGCTTAAATAATCGTTACTTTAATAAAAATAAATCATAATTTTAATCCAAACACAAAAAAAAAAATGTAGACGTTTAAACCGATCGTGTACTCACCTAACTACACGTAGCAAACGCCATCATCGACGGTCCAGAACTGCCGGATGGCGGCGCTCACCCGTTAGCTGTACACGTTTTGGGCTAAATACGTGCGCCTCAACCTCTCTAGTATATAATCAGTTCAATCATGTGATTAAAATGATGTGACATTATTCAGTTGAATATGATAAATTAACGCATGTGATTAAAACTTATCAACTTTTCAGTTGATAGGATAATGATAAATTACCTATGACGAAAAGCTTTCAACGAGCACAAAGTTTATTTCTTTTTAAAAGCAGATCCAGCTTTGTGAGTTTTGTTCGAAATACGATCTTCAAATGATGTGGAAAATAGTCCTCTCTACCATATTTATTTTTAAATTAGTTCAATCCCTAGATATTCCGAATGATGATGTGTTTAATTATAATTCAATCAACCAACTGAACAATTTACAGAAGGAATTGCTGAGGGTAATATCGACAATACCAGAATTCGCCGTAGTATCTCCCTCTTTATATAATTCAAGACTTTTTAAAGGAAACAAAACCCATCACATTGTTGATTTTAATAAGTGGATTTCGAACGTAACAACTGAAAATGTACTCGAAAATAATACAACAGATATGCATAATTATGATTTTAAAGATATGAAGTTACTCGCAGCTAACCGGACAGGAAATAAATGTAACATGGATTTAATTTATTTGATGTTTAGTTTTTCTAAGGATGCGAGATTACAAAGTAAGTGAGACTTTTATTGATATGTTTTATTTGTAATCGTTGAAGATTTGTTATTGTTATATATCAATTGAATGGAAATTTTATTAGTGTTGGATGCTACTGGAAAGCCTCCTTCTGGATTAAAGAAAGGAAATTTATTATGGCTTGGAGATTTCAAAGAATGTCGAGAAGTAACTGTACCTCTAAAAGTTATTGACAATATGAATTTCGGAAATTTTAAAGGAAAATATTGTTATCTGTCTTCGAGCGCTGCGGATTATAATATGGTATAAACTTAAGGTTAAGTCAAGTTTTCTGTTTTGGTTATAAAAAATGAAATATTTCTAATTACAGATGAATGTAGGTTTAAAGATTGGTATTTGTGTCCCAGATTCATGTAATGAAGAAATATTATCAAATGATCTGAAAGAACTATCTACATTTTTAAGTAAGTTAACAAATTTTATAATGTTTATGATTCAGTCTGAAGTTATTTTTTAATTCCTATCTTCTGTGAGATCTAATCTGTTATCAATTGTGAGCTGAATTTATTTCGAGAACCATAAATTTACTTATCAACTTTTTTAAGTACATCATAATGCTTATTCGTCATCATACTTTTTATAGTTTATATTCCTTGGGTGAAAAAGGTCGTGCCTTTTTTAAATAGTTCACAAATTACTTGTCAAAATTCCACTAAGAAATGGGAAACTGGCGAAATAGTATACATGTGAGTTTGAGTATAAAGTTTTAAAATGTGCTTCAATTTAATGTACTAAACATTAATTAAAATTTACGAACAGGTGTGTGATTTGCATATTTGCTTTTTTCATCGTTACTGGCACAATATGTGATATTATAATTGAAATTAAAAAGTATTTATCGGTTAAGACGGAAAATAAAAGTTTACCCCAGAATTATAATCCAGGAGAATATTACGATGAATCTGAAACAAACAATGAAAATGAATTAGTTATAAACAGCACAACAGTACAGCAAGAAGAGACTGAATCAGGTTATACACGAGAATTATAATCCAGGAGAATATTACGATGAATCTGAAACAAACAATGAAAATGAATTAATTATAAACAGCACAACAGTACAGCAAGAAGAGACTGAATCAGGTTATACACTTAAATATTTTATAAAAATTAATAATATTAAATTTAATATCGTCATTCTGTTTTTTTTNGCTAACCGGACAGGAAATAAATGTAACATGGATTTAATTTATTTGATGTTTAGTTTTTCTAAGGATGCGAGATTACAAAGTAAGTGAGACTTTTATTGATATGTTTTATTTGTAATCGTTGAAGATTTGTTATTGTTATATATCAATTGAATGGAAATTTTATTAGTGTTGGATGCTACTGGAAAGCCTCCTTCTGGATTAAAGAAAGGAAATTTATTATGGCTTGGAGATTTCAAAGAATGTCGAGAAGTAACTGTACCTCTAAAAGTTATTGACAATATGAATTTCGGAAATTTTAAAGGAAAATATTGTTATCTGTCTTCGAGCGCTGCGGATTATAATATGGTATAAACTTAAGGTTAAGTCAAGTTTTCTGTTTTGGTTATAAAAAATGAAATATTTCTAATTACAGATGAATGTAGGTTTAAAGATTGGTATTTGTGTCCCAGATTCATGTAATGAAGAAATATTATCAAATGATCTGAAAGAGCTATCTACATTTTTAAGTAAGTTAACAAATTTTATAATGTTTATGATTCAGTCTGAAGTTATTTTTTAATTCCTATCTTCTGTGAGATCTAATCTGTTATCAATTGTGAGCTGAATTTATTTCGAGAACCATAAATTTACTTATCAACTTTTTGAAGTACGTCACAATGCTTATTCGTTATCATACTTTTTATAGTTTATATTCCTTGGGTGAAAAAGATCGTGCCTTTTTTAAATAGTTCACAAATTACTTGTCAAAATTCCACTAAGAAATGGGAAACTGGCGAAATAGTATACATGTGAGTTTGAGTATAAAGTTTTAAAATGTGCTTCAATTTAATGTACTAAACATTAATTAAAATTTACGAACAGGTGTGTGATTTGCATATTTGCTTTTTTCATCGTTACTGGCACAATATGTGATATTATAATTGAAATTAAAAAGTATTTATCGGTTAAGACGGAAAATAAAAGTTTACCCCAGAATTATAATCCAGGAGAATATTACGATGAATCTGAAACAAACAATGAAAATGAATTAGTTATAAACAGCACAACAGTACAGCAAGAAGAGACTGAATCAGGTTATACACTTAAATATTTTATAAAAATTAATAATATTAAATTTAATATCGTCATTCTGTTTTTTTTTTAATCATTAGCAATCGTAAAATTCTTGATTTGCTTTTCATTATACACTAATGGAGTAAAAATTTTAAGCACCGAAAATACTAGCAGTCAATTACAATGTGTTCACGGAATTCGCTTCTTGAGCATGTGTTGGATTGTTCTGGGTCATACTTTTCTTATGGCTTTAGCTGTTACAGGTAAATATATTATAGGTATATATATTATATAATATATAATATACCTAAAATATATTATATTATATATTTTTTCTTTCAAAAAGAAATTAGCTTATATTTATAAATTATGTTTTATCTTCATAAGAAAATCTAGTCGACTACCTGGATTATGTTAAAAAGTTTTCTGCTCTATTCATAATTCAAGCCACATATTCTGTTGACACCTTCTTTTTGTTAAGGTAGGAAAATCATTCATTTTAAATAAATCAAAATGCTATTATATAATGATAATAGATTAATATAATGATTTTGATCATTTTTTTATCAGCGGGCTTCTGCTATCATATTTATTTCTAAAAAATCATGAAGGAAGTACTAAAAAGTTCAATTGGGTATATTATTATCTTCATCGAATTTGGAGGTAAGTTTTGTTATACTTCTTTCTATAAATATTATGGAATATATTAAAATATAAATCTAATAAGTTTTATATCAAACTGTGATCTTGTATATATAATTTAGGATCATTCATTGCCACTGTTTTGCAAATGTTATTGTAAATAAATCATACAATTAAAATTTTTAATTAAGATATTAAGTTGATTAATTCCAGATTAACTCCTATGTACATGATGCTCTTAGGATTGTACACGACAATTTGGCTGCGTATGGGTAATGGTCCTTTGTGGCCAAAAGAAGCTGATAATGGTAAATGTAAAAACTACTGGTGGCGAAATTTGCTATATATTCAAAATTTGGAAAGTGTATCAGAAATGGTAAATGTATAACAGTTTAGTGTGAAATTGATTTTTATTAAAATTTATTAAAACTGAAGAAAACTTATTATTTATAGTGCATGGCGTGGACGTGGTATTTGGCAAATGACATGCAGTTCTACATCATTAGTCCAATATTCTTGATCCTTTTATGGAAGTAAGACATCAACATTAAATTAAACTTTAAAATAAATTGTGTTAATTTATGTTTGCATTTAATTCGTTTAGATTTCCCGTTATCGGTTTCATAGTGATGTATGTCGCGTTAGGCATTTCTTCAATTACTACGGGAATTCTAGCTACGAACAACAATATAATTTCAATTTATTCGTGGATGGATGCAAATGGTTCAAATGCACCAGATATGAAAACAGTGTAAGTTTATTTTATATTTAATGTCAATTTTTATATTACAAAAACATACCGGTATTTTAATTTGCTAATTTAGATCTGGCAATTTTTTCGATGATATATACGATAAACCTTATTGTCGTATTGGACCTTATTTGATAGGAATTGCCACCGGTTATGCCCTGCATAAAATGAATTACTGCAAAAGTCTTTTGAATAAAGTAAGTCGATGAATTGTTTTTCACGTATACTAAGTGTTCATATATTCAGAAAAATATTCATATTAAAACGATTTTGAATCTTTTTAGATAGTGTTAACAATCGGTTGGATTGTGGCTATTGCTCTCTCTTCAAGCGTTATTTTTGGTATATATCATACTCACATGGGAGTAATTGCTGCTTCAGTCTATAACGCTTTCTCTCGTACAACATGGAGTATAGCAGTTGCCTGGGTGATTTTTGTATGTTTGGCTGGATACGGAGGTAAATTTTGTAAAATAAAAAATTCCTATCTGAAATTATATCACGATATTTAATTTTATTACATAAAGAAGCATATTTTAAAAAATTTTTAGGAGCTGTTAATTCAATTTTATCGTGGAAAGCGTGGATTCCCTTAAGCAGATTAACTTACGCTGCATATCTTGTACATCCGATTGTCATAGCAGGATATTATGGTTCTCTTATTAAACCAATCTATTTTCAGTTGGATTCTATGGTAAGTATGAATGCTGAAATAAGTGCTTTTAATACGTTGATATAAATTTATAGATAAATCGTCTTAATATTAAACAATACTGTATAAATGTTTTAAATTTTAAGGTTACACGACTTTAAAATTAAGAAAAATTCGAGAAAATTTAGCGTCATTTCTAAGTGATAATAAACTTGTTAAATAGATAAATAACGTTGCTGTTAAATAGTTATTCATAACGTTAACAATGTAATAAAATATAATAATATATCAATTATACAGGATGGTAATAAAAGTCTCTCCCGGACAATTATTTGAAAAAATAACGGAACGACGATGATAGATCTTTTGTCGGAATGTGCTAAACAGTGGCGAAAATTCTAATCTCAGTTCCTAATGAAAATGAGCAAACATTATATGTTACAAAGTTATAACATGTGAATAATATTCCGAATTCGAAAAATTCCATATACGAAAATTCCGAAATATCAAATGGGATCTCTGAACAAGCTTTCTAATATGACACGCTTCTTTGCACAACGAATAGCAGTGTATCACTGCACGACACGAATGCAATACAAATCTTTTTAAACTCCACTCTGTGGGAACTAAGAAAATCTTTTCAGCAAACCCATTATGAATTCGGCAAGCCAACAATGGGATAACTGGTGAAGACGGGACCCAGCATATCAGGACGCACTTCGTCCGAAAAATTTCTGGGGTTTTCGACCTGTCCGGATTTTACCCCAAAACCCCTAGTTTTTTTAAAACTCTTTTTGTAGGCATTTAGCGGGTCTCTTTTAGGAAGCGCATTATGGGTTCGACCAGACCCGGCAGACCCATAATGGGGCTGCCGGGTGGTGGATCCTATAGAGTGGTAAGCGAACGCCTTAACCTCTCTGCCGTCCGGAATTTATTTAATGATTTAAAACATCAATATTTATTCAAATATTTATCAAATATTTTAATTTTTAACTTCATGAGAAAATTAGGCCGAAAAATTTTTAAATTAAAATATTCAATTAAATTTCTTTAATTACTAGATTTATATGTTTCAGGTCAAAGAGTCATTTCATCCGAATAAAATGGTCACGCAGTTTGCTATTAAAATAGTTTCTTAAAAATGAATATTTTTAAGATGCCGATTTCTAGGAGTTGTTTACAGGATTACAAAAATTCACAGAACTAAATATAAAAGTCTTTAATCCACGGAAACTATGGTTATTTGGAGCAGAAAATAGTATTTTAGTTGTTGTAGACATGCATTATATTCTTTAAATTCTAGATTTAATTATTGTCTATTTTGAACATTTATTAAGTAATGACATTCGAACGTACAAAACAAACTGTTATGAAATAAATTACATCTGTATAATAGTTCATATTTTACTTTATTTTAAATAACTTTTTGTTACTAAATAATCTGTTTTTGTAATTGTGATAAAGTATATACAGTATTTATTTTCTAATGTTTAACGCACGTAACAATGAAATTTCTTTTCATAGATAACATACTATTTAGGAATTCTAATGTCATCGTATTTGGCTGCTTTTGTTGTATCTGTTGTATTCGAAAGTCCTATGATGGCTCTCGAGAAATTTATTTTAGAAAAAATGAAAAAGGAATAAAAAGAAACAGCCGTTTGTAAAATAAGGATTCTCTTGGTGATCATCTCAATTGAACTTTTCTAGTGACCAAAGGAGAAACATTTGATATTTTCTTGTAAAATAAATTAAAATTTTGTTTGTTGTAAAATTTGAATAAATAAAGAATAGTTTAGTTTAAACAGAATTTCTCTAGCAATTAAAAATAATTTTAGCACTATCACACGGAAATACGTTGGATGCCAATCTTTTAGACGCTTACATGAAATCTGATATTCGAATATGCAGTGCGATAAAATTAGTCGTAGAAATCTATATATATATAAATGAGGATGTTTGTTTGTTTGTTCGTTGTACAATCTTAAGCCATTCGAACAATTGCTATGAAACTTCAAATTCTTTTAACTTAAATCATGTCGTATTTAATATATAGAAATCCAATCAATATTCTATATATAGAATATATATTCTACATTCTATATATATATATATACAGTAGAGCGTCGATTATCCGAATCAATTGGGGACTGGGGTTGTTCGGTAGATCGATGATTCGGATAACCGATTATGTACGAAAAATATATTAATTTATCCCATCTTGACATTTTTCTCCGTTGCGTGTCGCTTCGCGTTAAATTTTCGTCGATGTAAAGCCTAACGAAGACTATTATATCGTTAAAAATTATTTTTTATTTTGTACGAACAAAATAAATATATTGAAAAATATAAAAACAATAAAAATTTATACTTCAGAGTTAATTTAGTATCAAAAACGTGAAATATTTGAGTAGCCCAAGGCATAGCCAAAGATTGCACGCCACAGCACTGGCGAAAATTTAAATTTGCCGACTGGAATTCTTTTGGATGATTGACGTTTCGGATGGTTGACTTTCGGATAATCGACGCTCTACTGTATTTGTTAATCGTTGCTTTTTAGGATTAAAAATAATAAGTCATTTTTAAAAACTTAAAAATATGTAATTTGAATTGATAATTTGATTATCATTAAAATACTACATTTAGATTAAGTGTTTGTATTATCACATTACCAACAATTAATTTCTGGTTATTGAGGGAAACAATTGACTAACTGTTTGATAATTAAATATATTTTTTATTGTTTTACTACGTATCCCAAGTAACAACAGTTAGAAAATGTCGAGAAGAACGGCTCTGAGGCGAATTAAAAGGGAATTGATCAGTATCACAAGAGATCCACCAGCTTATTGTTCGGCGGGACCTATCGACGACAACATGTTTGAATGGCAAGCTACTATAATGGGTCCACCCGATAGTCCATACGAAGGAGGTGTCTTCTTTCTCAAAATTTTCTTCTCCAACAATTACCCGTTTCAACCTCCTGGAATTAAATTTGAAACCAAAATTTATCATCCAAACATCAATATAAATGGCATCATTTGTTTGGATATTTTAGAACGAAATTGGTCTCCAGCGCTGACCATTCCCAAATTGCTACTTTCTATATGTTCGCTTCTTTGCGATCCGAACACCGAAGATCCGTTAGATGAAGAAATCGCCGAATTATACGAGAGAGATAAGGAAAGATACAACAAAAAAGCGAAAGAATGGACTGAGAGATACGCAACGGAACATTGAAAATTATTTTCCATTCGTCGTTTTCATTCTATTTTTCTTCATAACGCAAAAACAGCCTTAAATTTAAAAAAATTTATCATAAATCCGGAAATCTCTACAAAAATACGTTTATTTATGCAAAATTGTAATAATTATATGAATGAATGAGTTAAAATTTGTGCATAAACAAATAAATGACAATTATGCATCAATCTTGTCAATTTTTCTTCTTTTATTAAAAATTAAAACAACATTAAAAAATTATACAAGTGGAGCTTTATGGGCAATAGGGGAGTAGGACAACCCAACCCACCGCTCGCCTCAAGGGCTTCGCCTAATTGTTCCCAATATAGACTACTCGTAACAAAAATTTCGTGGCCATCCCGAGAAAAACCAACAACTTTCCGCACTCCTCTTTCCTAATTACGTTCTTGTTTTCGTAGAATTCATCTTGAACACGAAAAGTGTTTAACACTACTGCAATAGTGATGACTGTTTTATTTCTCCAGCATAACTAGGCAAAGTATTGAAATCGTGTCAAATTCGACCCTCCGCTATTTGAGACCTTTTGTATATAGATACAGATTTTGTCTGTATAGAGGATAGAATGTTTGTCTCTTTCTGTCCTTAGCTTTTTGGTCGATTTGCATCAATTTTTCATACTTATTCTCTGGGACACTGACGAAAATCTACAGGCTGCCACATAAACCTTCTAAACTGGACGTGAATGAGAAACTTCAGTATATGTTCGCATTATAGTGAAATATTATTTGTATGTTCTCAAAATGTATCCAAAAAGAGATTTGAAATCAATTTCTAAGTTATGCATGAAATGGAGTAAAGCTGATAATCTTTTGTGTATCATTCACCCCCTTTGAAAGTTTCTCATTTTGAAATTTTGATAAACTTAATACCTTTTTGTAGTTTCTTCGAAAAACATACGTAATTTCATTACTGTTTCATTATTTGGATGTTTTATTGCTAAAACATGCTTGTCTGTCAATTCAAATTATTTTCAGTGCTGAAATTATAAATATATAAAGAAAATTAAATAGTTTATTTCTTGCTATATCTATAAAATAATGACGTAGATGCCTTTATTAAGAGAAATTTATAAATTAGTTGTTGTAAATAAATTTAAAGGAAAAAGCAATTTAAACTATGTTTATAAGTTTGATAGTATGAAAAAAAATGTATACTATTTGCGAAGTTCCTTCTAATCGTATTAAAATTACTTTAAAAATTGCCAAAACATATTGAATCCGTTATATATTGAATTTAAATTGATCATAACAGAACGGACTATTATTAAAATTTGAAAACATTTATCATCATTTAATGTGAAAACCAATAAGTTTATCTTTCTAGAAGCGTACAGTATTTTGGCACCCATTGCATATAAGTATTCCCTGCTGAAAGAAAGGAAATGTGTCATTCTGCAGTTGATGCTCAGTGCAAAACTCTGCTAAACTTCGCTTTAACTTTTTCATTTCGTCGTATTTTTGTATAATTTTTTAAATGATTTATGCATGCTAGCTTGTTAAATTTGTGTTAAATTTAAATTCTGTTAAAATGCTTTTATAAATGTATTTTTTTCGGGGTGTGGAATGGATTAATCTAAATTACATTATTCCTTGTGGGAAAAATTCGTTCGATATTCGAATAGCCTATGGAACGAAATTTGTTCGAATAACGAGGTATCACTGTATAAGGTCATACAAGTATTATATATACTCGTATGTAGGCTATATCAGCGTTTCTCAAACTTTTTGATCACGCGATCTAGTAATACGGTATATGTATTTGTTTGTATCGGATCCGCGACCCAAATGTTTATAGTCTAATATAAATTTTTTTTAAAAAAAACAGATAAATTGGAGTCACCGTATATTATATAACAAAATTTAAAATGTGCATTATTGAAGATAACTTCCACATGTGAAAAGTAACTTTAAATTTCTAGTAAAAGCGGTTCGGGACATTTTTGATTTGTAACAACAAAAACTAAACTTGAAGTAAGTTATTATTAAAATTTAATTATTAAAAATGACGATTGTAAATTAAACACAGTTTCAAAATTACTCAGGTGTATATTTTACTTTAAAAAATATTACAAGTTTTTTTTAATAAACTTTAATTAAAAGAGAAGGAAATGGGGATATAGAAGGGATCATGTATCATTTCTAAGTAGAGTCGGACTTAATGAAGATTTTACTCGTTATTAGCACTTACATTTTCTTTTCTTTTTTCTTTTTTATAAAGCTTATCTCTACCCTCAAAATTAAGCTTTTTTTCATAATAATAGAGAGGTTGAGGCACAAGGGCAAGTCTTAA